TGCCTTTTTCAGTTTCTGAAGCACTTTTGCATAAATCTTATTCAGTTGAATTTAATGAATATTTTTTTCTAGAACCAGAGAACATTAATCAAAGAAGTTGGTGGTGCTTTTCTAGTCTAGGGGAAGGGATAGTCTTACGCAGTTGGGCAGGACTTGGTTGAGTCATATGTAATAGTTTGACACTTTTCTAGGCTTCTTGGTCTCCCACTTTTGAAGGCCCAGAGCAGTTCCTGTTGTTAGCGTGTCCCGGGAATAGTACATTCTGTGAGACTGTCCAGGCGGTAACTAAACGCCTCAACAAGCTCATTTCTCTAGCATAATAACAACAAAATACGGAGAACCTCAATGAGTATTCGAGCGTTTTCCTTTCAAGAGATGTCTAGTCAAAGTTATTAGAGTGCATTATCCCTAGTAGGCAGACGTAGTAGAGAAGGCCAAATCAAAATGAGAAGTTGGGCATAGTGGAGAATGGAATCAGAATGGAGGGATACAGTGTAAGAGAATGTTAATCATATAGGGCCTAGGGATGCTGATCACCCTGTTCCTCTGGGGAATGGGGCTTAGCCAAAGGTACAGAAAACTCGAAGTGTTTGGGCTAAAAACCTCTTTATGCCTCCGAGCGGAACTTTGCATTAGGACTAGAATATTCAAAGTCCAGAATGGGGGTAGGATTATCCTCTCTCTAGGGATGTACTCGGATGGGGTACTTTCCCATGCCTGCCCAAAAAAAATGGGTGATTTATTCGTTTTTAAGTGTCCATAATTATTAATTCGTCTTTGATCAATACTTTGGCTTTCCATTAGATACATTGAACACCATCAATCAGGTATTATTTAAGCGCTCTGCTGGCTGGGGAGCAATTTTTTTTTCTTTACATGTGATTCTTCAATCTGGCTGAGCACTGGTTAGAGTTAACTACGTTTGAAGTCTTTACAGGGCCTTTTCCTGTGTCAAGTTTTTTGGGGTATTTATTGAGAGCAGGCAGCTAATGGTAAGCTCTCATGTTGTGACAAGATTGAGATAATTCACAATAATGTCAACTAGCTAAACTCATTGTTTCATTAGTAAACTTTTATTGAGCATTTACGGATGCGCCGTAGGTACTGCTTGTAGGCCTATCAAAGATAGCCAAAGTACTTGATTGGAGCTTACGGTGTAATGGTTCACAGGCAAAGGTATACTGTGATTATGTTTATCTGTAATTTTTTCAATGGCACTGATGGATGGACAATGATTTATAAAAATCGGGACAAGAGCTCCTAAAGAAGAATTTAATACTCCTGTACAGCCTGAGCATGTAGTGGAGCCACTCAGAAATCTTATTGCTTTTTTAAAGGGCTAAAATATAACATGTTGAAAGTACTTGAAGAGCTTCAACGATAGAAGTAGGGGGTTGAACTTTGCTAGAGCGCAGGTGGAGGGGTCTTTAATTTGGAAAAGTGATTTTGGCAAAAACCGAGCTGGATGAGATGCCAGCATGTGCTAAATAATGACTTGTTGCAATGAATTGTCCCCTTGAATGAGCGTTTCTCGTTATCTGGTGAGTGAAGGTCGTACAAGTATTTGTGAAGGCATATTGCAATATTATCACTTTTAAAATGACATGCTCAGCAATTTAACAAAGTAGGGATTATATTCTAGGAATACACCATATGGTGTAAGAAACAGATTCAAGAATATTTTGTACTGTTGTATTGCATAGGAACAACTTGAGATTACCTAGTATACGTTTGTTTTACTGTTGTGTTGATATTAAAGTACACTTAAAAGTATAAAGCAGGGCCAGAGCCCAGGTGTCACGCGTATCCAACACCTTGAGAGGCCGAGGCGGCGGATCACGAGGTCAGAGATTGTTGAGACCGTCGCCTGGCTAAACATGGTGTAAACCGCCGTCTGTTATAAAATACAAAAATTAGGGGGCGTGGTGGCGGTGGGCGAGGCCCCACTGTATAGTGCGGTTGCTCCGGAGGCTGGAGGCAGGAGAATTGAACCGGGGGGAGGCGGAGCTTAGTGAGGCCGGGATCGCCGCACGTTACTCCAGCATGGGTGACGAGCGAGACTCCGCTCTAAAAAAAAAAAAAAAAAAAAATGATAAGCCAGAATTTGGTGCCATGGCTGCATGAAAAAGATGTCACAATGCCATGTTGGAACTAAACAGCAGGTAAAGAACAACATGTTAATGTTTTTTTGAAAAACTGATAAACCTTTTCCAAGACAAGTGCTGCATATACCTACACGTCCATTTGTTGTTTTAAATCCCTTAATTCGCAAAAAGCTTCATAGTTTCTTGTTTTCTTGTTCTTATTATTTTTTACTTATTTTTATGTTTTTATCGCCAATAAAATGTGCGCTCCCCCCTTACAGAAAAAATGGAAATTAGGGAAAAGCAAGTTTAGAACTGACCACACTGCATATAACATTCTACAATTGTGAGACTCCTTGGTGAATGATTCTACTTAAATCCTCTTTCTTGTTCATATGCTTTTTTCAATCAAATGATGGGCTATCATGCCCTTCGCCTTATAAGTTTCCCTTTTGTCATTTAGCAATGAGAATATTTTAGGATGACTTCCTTTTACAAATAATTTCACAATAAGCATATAAGGATAAAAACGTAGAGTTGGGGTCAAGAATTTAATGTTTTTTTTTTTTTTTTTTTTTTTTTTTTTTTTTTTTTTTTTTTTTTTTTTTTGAAATTTCCAAATAGACCATAAAGTTACAATATAATTGATATTCTTAGAAAATATAAGTAACTTTTTTGCAAGAATATATAAATCACTTAAATATTCCTTAAAATTTGAAACTACTTCAGGTAACAAAAATTACCATTTTGGTGAAATTCAGTGACTCTTATACCCTGACACATGTAATTATTGAGTATACATTTGGTGTTTTTTTTTAATGGGATGAAATGAAGACGATGCTGATTGAAACTCTAAAACAGTATGAAGGTACTATCCCTAAGAGGCAGCCCCTCATTCAATTTTTTCAGCTTGCTGTTTTTAATCAGAATTCACAATAAATTGATTTAAAGGAAATTTATGGTCCATACCAATGAACCTTTTCATGTCAGGATAATAGATTCATGTTATTTTTTGTTTAAGCCTAGTGAATCTATCATCATGAAACAAAGCAAGATTTAGGTTACAACACCCTCCTATTCGATGGACTCTTATATGACTGTTACCATTTTTTGTGTGCTAACTTCGCTGGCTAGATATAATATAGGTGGTTGTGTGTGTGCAGTGTGTTAATGTATCCGTTACACAATTTATATTTAGTTGACACTGTTATGGTATCGGCTGTGGCGATTTATTCTTACCAGTACCACTAGAATTTCTAGGTCAAAAGGTATGTACCTTAAAATTTTGATAAATATTTTAATGCTCCCTCTGTAAATGTGGTAATAATTTACTCTAAATAGTACATGAGTTATTTATGCTAAAGAGTACATGCCAGTTTGTTTAGAGCTTTGCAAACCCTGCATATTCTAATACCTAGATGCTTGAAATCAGAATATGAGAAAAGTACTAATTTCCTATTGCAAAGTGGGCTAAAGCTCTGCTTTAAAGCACAACACTTCAAACTTCTTGATTTTAAATTGTTTAATTGTGTTGGGTTTAATGGATTGTTGAAGAAAAACCCCAAAAGTACTATAAAAAGTCATTACTTTATATTATTTAAAAAATATAACACATAAGGTTAGAATTTTATGAATATTTAATTTGCTGCAGATGCTACAAAGTGTCATTTTTCAGCAGACTGGAGTGTTTTGAGTTTGTCTATTGATATCAGTTGTGTTTGCATGCAATGTCAATCATTTAGGCTTGTCTTTAAATTTGGGTTACATTGAGTCACTGATTCTGTTTCATTGCTTCTTATGTGATGAAATATGATTACAGGGCAAGAAGGCAGTGATGAAGTTCAGGAACTCCATAGGCAATTCACAGAGAATGAATTCATATCAACTTCCAAACATTAACAGTTACATGATGCCTATTCCTCCTCCACCACCCCCAAATGGGAAAATCACAAGAGAAAATAGATCTGAAACATGGAGAAGGAGAAGATTTCGTCCAACCACTGCTCCAAATGGCTTAGAACCTCTTTTGACCAGGGTAATTATGGAACACATTTTTCTTTTATTAATTCATCACAGATTACATTGCACTATTAGATTTCTAGGTTTACAGTAAAAGAATTTGGAGGAAATTGCATGCAAAATATTCTGTGTAAAGAAATACAATTTTATAAGTAAGCCTGAATGAATCTGAAACCAAAGACTTGAGTAGTTCAGTTGCATAATGAGTTTAGCAAAATTAATAATAAAAGATTTAACAACTCTTGTGGTCAAATGTAATTTGAACAATACGTATTTCCAAATAATTTATTTCCTTAAATGCACCGATTCAATCACATGTTGTTAGAAGTATCTTAACATCTAATTTGTAAAAATTGAGAAACCTTGATATACCTAAAAAACATAATATAGTTTATTTTTAATAATTAATGGCAAATTACTATATCATACCTAGAAAAAATTATTTCGGTGTTCTTTGAAGAGATTACAGTTTGTTGTACTCATTTCCTCAAAATACTAGTAGAAGAAACAGTTTTAAGGCCTGTTGGACTTTATAAACATACAAGCTAGTAAGAAAGCAAAATAGCTCTTCATTTTTATTACATTAAATATACAACCAATAGCAATTAAATGAAAGTTTTGTGATTGGCAAATAAACTGGGTTAACATTTCACTGGCTGACCATCAAGAAGTGAAGTGTCAGCATGCACATAGATTCTTAAAAATCAACCTCACTTTCAGGACCCTTATTCACCCCATGTCCACATCTCACTCCCAGCAGCTGTCCTTACCTCTAACCTTCTCAAAAGAAGGGAACCATCTTCTTCCTACTTGCTTAATTTCCTTCTTTCAACTCTACTTTTACCAACTCTCTCCCTTTGTTGCTGTCTTTGACAGATTGTTTTCTCTCTCATCCCCAAGGCCCACCCTTGCCCTGTGTCTTTGATCAGATACTCTTTCACTGTTGGTGGTACTTCGTATTATCTGTCATTCTCTCTAATTTGGATTTGCCGCCTTCTTCTAATATTCATCTCTGTCTCTCAACATATCCAGGCCTTAGATAAAGGAGCAAATTCTTTCCTCACATGATGTAACCTTAGACTTCTGTTTCATCCTGTTCTTCATTAGTAAGTTCTCTATAGAGCCGTTTACTGGAGCTTAGTCTAACAACCTGAGGCAACTCAACTTACAACAATATTCTTGCTCACAATCTTATCTACTGTTGGTCTTATCTACTTGCTCACAATCTTATCTACTGTTGGTCAGCTGTAATTCTGGGACCCAGACTGAAGGAACAGCTCAGAATGAAAGAGTCTGGAGTATGTTGGCCTCATGGGCAACAGAACCACAGAATGCTTTTAAGGTTCCACTCAGGAGTGGCGCATGTCACTTACACTGGAATGCCATTTGGCAAGCCCTTGACCAAGACTGACCTCAATGGAATAGGAAGTGTCAGTCTCTAACAGAAAAGGGCGGTAAATATTTACAACAATAATAGAATCTACCACATCCACTCACTTAATTTTTCACTCTGCATGCTGGCATTGGTTTCCACCTGGCCAATGAACATGCTCTCCAAAGGTGTGGCTCACATTTAGCAAAAACAGTGACTTACTCCTCATTCTCAAACACTTGGGTGGCAGGATTTGATTTTCTGATGTTAAAATGTAACACTGGGGTACATTCTACCTGTTCATGCTCTTTAAAAAAACAAGTTTAAATGTCTCACAAGCCACAAGAATATATAAAGTCTTATCTATACATACAAGTTCAACAACAATAACCAAGCAAGCACCATGCACTTACTACATCTTCACAATGAACTCTACTATCATATTATGCAGGAGCCCCCTTTTTCCTGCCCCATCATTCTTTTTTCCAGAGCAACCGCCACACTGACTTCTCTGTGAACTATGTCCCTGCTTTTCTTTAGAGTTCTATCGCTTATATGCACAAAACTTCAGAAATAAGCTCAAACCTAGCATTGTAATGAAAGGACACGATTTCTAGAAGAAAATAAGCTGAATAGAATCTTTGGGTCACAGTCTGGGTTTGGTTTTTAAACAATTTTAAAAGCCCCTTCTGGGGAAGTCAGAGTGGTCAGGTCACGAATGTGTCAAGGTTTCTGGTGAGGTCCTAGTGTGAGTCAGACACTGGATGTCCAGCAGGAAAATGACCAGGGGAATGGGCTTCTGTAGCTGGGCATGGAGGAGGGAGCAGCAGCTTCTTCATCCCAGGGTCATGACAAGTGAAGCACAAATAAGCAGCTGAGCCAGGTTCCCCTGGGATTCTGCATTCAGGTTAGAAGCACAGCATGGTGTCAGCAGGCATGCTGGCTTTGACAGACCTTATCATGTCTGTCTCCTGAGTCACAGGGCTTCAGTCTGACTTACTCTTTTTTTTTTTCCCCCCAAGAAAGAAAACCATTTTTCTCTCTTTTTGGAATCTCTATTTTGGGAATGTTAGAACTACTAGACTGATGCTCTAAGATTCTTAGCTTTTCTCTCCTACTTTCTACCTCTTTGTCTTTTTGTTCTACTTGCTGAGAGGTTTTTTCAATTTTATCTTCCACACATTCTACTGAGTTTTTTCTCCTGCCATGTTTCAGTTCTAAGAACTCCTTTTGTGTTCACTGAATGCTACTTTTAAAATGCATCTTATTCTTGATCTGTATGATTTTAACTCCTTGGTATTTGTGGAGACTTGCTTTGTGAGCTAATATATGTTCAGTTTTGGGAAAGAATCATATTCTTTAAATGTTGGAATTAGGGTTCTATAAATGTCCAATAGATAAATGTTAAGTATGTTACTCATATTTTTACATTTGTAGACTTTTTATGTGTTTAATCTCTTAGTTCTTGAGTTATAATGAAAATCCATTCCCTATAATTATGGATTTGTCAATTTGTCTTTGTAATTATGCCAAGTTCTGTTTTGTATATGTTTAGAAAATCTTCTTATATGCTCTCAGACTTAAGATTATTTTAATCTTACTGGTGAGGAGATCCTTTTTGTCATATTACTTTTTGTCTTAAAATCTATTTTGTCTAATAATACTTCTTATTTTCTTTAGATTAGTGTGAGTGTGTCTGTGTATGTGTGAGTGTGTGTGTGTGTACTGTATATGGAGAGTTGACATTTGAATAACATGGGGGTTAGGGATGTCATTACTCTGCACAGTTGAAAATTTGTGTATAAATGTTGACTCCCCCAAAACTTAACTACTTATAACCTACTGTTGACTGGAAGCCTTACCAATAACATAAATATTCAATTAACACATATTTTGTATGCTATTTGTATTATATATGGTATTCTTACAAAGTTAAGTTAGAGAAAAGAAAATGTTATTATGAAAACTATAAATAAGAGAGATTACCTTTATAGTACTGTACTGTATTTATCAATACCATAAGTTATGTCTTCTTTTATAAAATGAATCATCACCTATGAGCAATCTCAGCTAGAGAATTCAATTCAATCTTTTCTTGTAATGTCATGACTTTGCTTCTTGGAATGCTTCTAGCTTCACCAGTAAAACTTTGTTGAGTCCCATGATGTTATTCAGTGTTTACAGTATTATGCTAAACACAATTAAAACATATGTAAGAGCTTTGAGAGACTACTTTTTACTCTGATGGATGATTTACTAAAGAGCTGAATTGCTCATGTGGACATGACTAGTGTCACATGGCATTTTAAGTGGATACTTGCAACACTTGAGCTCACTACAATAGCAACAGAAGGTGCCTATGAAATTATTACAGCAGTACAGTATGTACTGCAGTTAATTTTATGCAGTTATGATTTAATACTGTGTCTTTATATTTGTTTACATTTATCTTAATTGTAAATGGCACCGTGCATGGTCTGTTAAGTGTATGTGTAAGTTTTGATAAATCTTAACTTTTTATAATAGATTTGTGTGTATTTTATGGTAGTAAATGATAAAACAGACTAGCATCTACATATATTTTATGCATTTGTAACATACCTTTGTCTTATTTTTCAAAATATTTCTTGCTATACAGTTTGTCTTCAAGTCTTTCAAATTGTCGTAAATCTCCAAATAATTTTCCAATATGTTTATTGAAAAAAATCTGCATATATGTGGACCCACATGGTTCAAATTCGTGTTATTCAAGGGTCAACTGTGTATATGCACATATGTATGTGTGTGTATATGCATATGTGTGTATATATTCCTTTCACTCGTAGTCTTTTGGTGTCTTTAGTTTTAAACTTTAGGCTTTAAATACGTTTATGTAGCATAGGGGTGGATTGTGTTTGATTCAATCTGAGAATCTCTGTTCTATTAATACATGAGTTTAGTCCAAGTATATTTATTTTCTTTAGTGATATATTTAGCCTTATTTCTACCATCTTAGTTTTTTTTTTTTTAATTTACCATGACATTTCTTTGTAGAATTTTATGCTATTAATTGCCTCTTCCTAAAACCTCTCCTCTCTTGCCTTCCACGGCATTTTGTTTTCATGCTTCCTCGCTGTCTCCTTTTACGTCTTGTCCTACTCCTTTGTGATTCCTTTTCATCTTCACCCATAAATCTACCCATCCCTATAGGCTTCAGCCTTTACACTTGTTTTTCTATTCAAGATGTAGTCATCTTCACAGATGATTTCATGCTAGATATCTGTTGGAGTTGACTCTAGCCCTGATTCTTAGGCATAGAGTAAAATTGACTCACTGGGGAGAGTCACACACTTTTACATTAATACTTGAGTTTAGTTTATTTAGATATAGAAAAGATTCATTTAAGGGGGAGATGGCTGTTGTGACTAATTTACACATAAATTCATCTTTCATTTTATGGCTACCATCCACCAAAGAATCTTTTAAAGGCTCTTAAAAAAAGGAAAGACAGAGTAAAAAGCGATGAAATGTGGCTTGCTGGTAGCCACCACCTGCTTCTCTATGAATGTGTAGAACAACATGGTTTCTGGCTTCTGTAATTCATGTCTCTGGGGATGATCAGTAGAGCCAAATGACAAGGTGTGTTAAGACTCACAGTGCAGCAA